CCCTCAAGAATTGGGTACTGTGCTTGTGGAGTCTGGCTAAGCACACCACAAGTCCGAATGGCAGACATCAGAAATGTCTTGGGAAGGAAGTGGAGCCCCTGCTGGCTATTAAGAGGCCTAAGCTGTTTTAGGGGGCTCCCAGCTGAGTGCCAGACTCTGGGACAGACTCCCCTTTGCTTGGCTTGTTAGCAGATGGGTTTTGCCTTTCTGGTAGTCCCTGTCTCTCAGTATAGACGCACCCTCACAGGAATATACAGAAGGGGAGTCGGGAACTTCAGTTCAACCTTGAGAGCTCACAGCACCACCAAAAGTGACCAAGTCAGTGGGTTCTGTGCTGAGACAGATTGTGCTCGGGCTCCAGGAGCTGGCCGTCCCAGTACTGTCCCAGGCTGTCTGGCTCTGGTCTTCCCTGCTCCCCAGCCATCACTAAGAGAGCTACACAGCTCACTTCCTTATAATTTGTTCATTCTGAACTTGAAAACCTAAAGATTGTCAACTTTTGTGGAGTGAGGACTCTTCCGAGAGTAAAGTTTATGAATATTTGTGTTGAAAAGACAGTGCTGTCTCCTTAGGCCTGATAGTGTTTTCTTATTTTCTAATGTGTATTAACTGACCTGCAACTGTGTATCTTTATACATGATATTAAATGCTAACTGACATATATAATACTTAGTATTGTTTGATTTTGCATTAGAATCTTGTACAAAAGTGTATGCATACATCAATGTGTATGTTTTATTTAGATTCTATCTTAAAATTTGATAAATAATAAAGTTTAATCTGGGACCAGATTATATTGATGAATGATATGATCCTTATATTTTAAAAAGTAATTATTTTAGCTAAATTTCTATCACAGAAAACTCGTTCTGTTGTTTTTTAGCTTTTGCCTTACATTTTTGAGCTTGCTTCCTGCATGTATAAAGTTGACCCTTCAGCCCTCTTCCAAGGGATTCAGATTTACTCTGGTAAGTTTCTTATTTTTCTTAAGATGTTTAGTTCTTGCTGTAACTGGCATTTTAGAAACATCAGTAATTATTTTCTGGTATGGGGTAAGATTGACTGGGCAGCAAAATAAAACACTTGATTATTTGATAGACACCGAACACCATCCTTGTGCAAGTGCTGGGCTAAGCATTAGACTGAGCAGTCAGAATCTTTAGTTTACTCAGGAACTGTTTGTTTCCCATTTGTTTGATTGACTAATGAGGGAATACAGAGGTGGTGACAATGTACGCATAGCTGTACTGGCTGGTTTTGTGTGCCAATTTGTCACAAGTTAGTGTCATCAGAGGAGGGAGCTTCAGTTACAGAAATGCCTTGATGAGATCAAGCTGTAAGGCATTTTCTCAATTAGTGATCAGTGGGGAAGGGCTCAACCTATGGTGGTGGGTGGGGCCATCCCTGAGCTTCTAGTCCCTGGGTCTGTGGGAAGCAAGCCAATAAGCAGCTCCCCTCCATGGTCCTCTATCAGCTCCTGCCTCTAGGATTCTGCCCTGTTTGAGTTTTTGTCCTGACTTCCTTCAGTGAGGAACAGCAATGCTGAAGTATAAGCCTAATAAACCCTTTGCTCCCCAACTTGCTTCTTGGTCATGGTGTTTCGTTTCAGAAACACCATGTAGAAACCCTGACGACTGTTGAGCAGCTGGTGTTACGTTCTGTCAGGTACAGATCAAGTCTGTGATGTTTTGGGGAAGGGAGAGATCTTGGAGGAAAATTTTAGACTATTGCTGAGCAAGTGGGATTTCGGCCAGCTTTGGAAAGTTAGACAAGGCTTGGAACTTGTGGACAGCAGGAAAGAAACTCCGGGCAGAAGAGAGCTTGAGCTAACGCCACCTGGGAGTGGTTGTTAAAATGCTTGTTTGTGTGTCCTATGTTTAAGGGCAGGTGAGGAAAAGGTAAAAATAGGGCAGATTTCAGAAGATGTCAGATGTCTGGTTGAGAGGACTGTGTGTGAGAGGTGCACAGATAGGTTTGGGAAGAGGAGAGAACAGGGACTCTTGGTTTGCTCAAAGGATGACGGGGTGAGTAAAGAGGCCGGGGCAAAGTAGGATGAAGGACCCAATAACCGATGAATTAGGAAAGACAGATTTCCCAAGAGCCCAGGTTTTATTGCAAGTGCACTAGGAAGCCCCGTGGGCATTTGAAATGGGCATTATGTGATGGGCACAACTGTGCAAGTTACTGTGAGAGGCAGCCGTGCTTCCAGGTGACACGTCGGTTGCCTGCCAGCATCGGCAGAGCAGTGCAGCCAAGTGGAGGCTGAGTGTGTGGGAAGCATCAGCACATTGACAGAGGGGAGGTGTGGGGTGTATAAGACAGGAGTTGTACATGAGCAGCTAGATCCACACACACAAATCTGAAAAACTTACTTAAAACCCCAACTAGCAGGTGGCTTCACAAAACAGTTAACATGTTTCATTGGGGTACACTTTTTAAAATCTGCAATAAAGTTGTTTCATTTTCAGGTTTAGATTTTGACCTTGTCTTTCATACTTAACAAATTTATATTTACTTTACTTGTGTGTGTTTGTGCACTTCTGTACAAATGCCATGGCATGCATGTGTAAAACAAGGACAGCTTAAGGGAGTTGGTTCTCTTTTTCCTCTAAGTGGGTTCTACCCACTGAGCCATCTTGCTGGCCCTATAATTTTTAAGTAGTTTGCCAGGCTCCAGAGGGTAATAGGGGTTTAATTGTTATATTATCTCCTGTACATGGTAGTTTTGCTTTTATTATTTATTATTACTTTTAAATTTTATCTGTCTGTCTGTCTGTCTGTCTATTTGAGGCAGAGTTTCTCTGTGCAGCTTTGGAGCTTAGCTTGTCCTGGAACTCGTTCTGTGGACTCAAACTCACAGAGATCTGCCTGCCTCTGCTTCCTGAGTGCTGGGATTAAAGGCGTGTGCCAGTAAGCCCAGCTGGTAGTTTTGTTTATTAGTGGCTGAGTTTTACAACCATTTTAGATACTTCTATATAGCCTTTTAATAGTTTCTTTAAAAAAACATTTATTTTTTTTGGGGGGGGTGGGAGGCTTTACTTGTGCTACAGCATGTCAAAGGACAACTTGTGGGAGTCAGTTCTCCATCCGCCGTGTGGGTCCTGGGGATTGAACTCGGGTCTTCAGGCTCTGTGACCAGCACCTTATTCCTACTGCACCATCTCACCAGCCCGATTATTATTAGCTTTTAAAATTTGCATGCTTAAAATTGGTTAAATATTCATATTCTGTGTTTGATTTTTATCTGTAGGTAGTAACTATAATATTCAAACTTTGAATGTTTTTAGATTTAAAATTATATCAATACAATTTTCAAGTTTTTAAATCATGTTTTACCATCTTCTTTTTTCTTAAAGGTTAGCTGTGCACTATCATTCTTTCTGTTTTCTTTCCAAGTGCATGAAAAGTCCATTCTTTTGGTGTCATTGTAAGTATAAATCTTTTAAGTATGTGTTCTTTATAATATTTATTATATATAAATAAGCTTATAAAATGTTAATTTTGATAGAAAATAAGACAACAGATATTTTTACATATAATTATTTAGTCATTCTCAGAAAGATAATTATTTTTACTTTTTAAAATATATTTTAAACCAAAACAGTTGATAAAATTTTTATTGACATATTCTCATGTCTTCTGTTCTTCTTATTTCTCTATACTATTTAAACACAATCCTCGAAGCTGCTTTCCTTTTTCTTCTCTTTCCTTTTGTATTTTATTCACTTCCATATCTGTTGGATAGCCTTGTTCTCTAGGTCTTTCATAGGTTGTTTTTTTGTTTTGTTTTTTGACCCTTCCCCATGCACATATCACAGCATATAGATGAAAGTTTCAGACCCTCTTGGCAATCCTTAAACAGATTACTTTGTTTAAGAGCATTGAAATTTTCCTCTCTGGGTGACAATTGGGCTATGTTATCCTAATACTAAAGTAGTATAGGTTAGAATAATGTGGACTACTTGAATCCTTCCCAGGTCAGTCCCAACTGTCTGCTGCCTTATGCCCCACCCAGTGCTCCCAGTGGGCTTGTGAAGATACCAGTACAGAATGGCAGGGAGAGGAGGGACATGGTAGTTCTCGTAGGTGGAGCTCTGGACTGGAAGCGGTTTTGCTGCCTTTGTGGAAGACACCTTGGCATATAGCTGCAGCACAGGTCATTGCAGATGGGAGGACATGCCAGCCTCTGAAACCCACACCTGGGTGAGGGCTTAACTCTTCAGAGGGCACAGTAGGCTAGGTTATGTAGAACCTTGTAAGGGCGACTAGAAACTTTGGCTTTTATTGTGAGGGAATGGCAAGCCTGGCGTGGTTTCTGCAGATGAAGAGGAGAGTGAGGCCCTGAGGATGGGGGGCTGTGCTACTGATACACCTTGAGGTTAAGGGCCAAGTCGTGTTCCATTTCTATTATTTCAGAGCGGTGCGTATGTGTGATACAGTTTCATTTGATTTGGTAATTCTATATGGAAAGAGTAAATGGGAAAGAAGACTCAGAAAACCTTACATATTGAATACTTACTATGCTTCTGCTGATAAACCCCTTCTGATTCAGCACATTGGAGCATGGGGATGGAAAGTTCGCTGGTGTGATCCCTTAATAGGAAACAGTGGCTTTTCAACGCCAAGTTTAAATCTTATATGCCAGCTGACATGCATTAAAAACATCCCTTTAAGAAAGGAGGCATAGGGGCTGGAGAGATGGCTCAGCAGTTAAGAGCATTGCCTGCTCTTCCAAAGGTCCTGAGTTCAATTCCCAGCAACCACATGGTGGCTCACAACCATCTGTAATGAGGTCTGGTGCCCTCTTCTGGCCTGCAGCCATACACACAGACAGAATATTGTATACGTAATAAATAAATAAATTTAAAAAAACTCTACTCCTGTGAAACTGACTTAAAAAAAAAGAAAGGAGACATATTAGTTATTTTTCTGTTGCAGTCATAAAACACCATGGCCAAGGCAACTTATAGAAGGGGGGGTTTATTTGGGTTTATGGTTCCAGAGGTTTTTGAGTTTATGGTTTTATGATTCTAGAGGTTTTTGGGCTTATTTATTTGGGTTTATGGTTCTGTTACCATCATGATGGGGAAGCATGGCAGAAGGCAGGTGGCTGGAGCAGCAAGCTGAGAACTCGCATCTTAACCGTTAGCATGACGCAGGGAGGTCAAACTTGAATGGCACTTTTAAACCTCAGAGCCCTCTTCCAGTGACATACTTCCTCCAGCAAGGCAGCACCCCTAACTCTACCCAAGAAGCACAGCAAAGTAGGAACCAAATATTCAAGCATCTGAACCAATGAGGGACGTTTCTCATTCAGAATACCACGTGAGGAGAATGTCAAGTCTTTAGAAACTTTTTAAACACACAGGGAGAGAGATTAGTAGTAATGACAACAGTAATTCACAGTTGTCTCTCTTAGAAAAGCTTATTTTATATTGCTAAAAACAAGTACAAGGTAATACTTGTAGAGAAATTAATCCTTGGCCTAAGTCACACAGTGGGTGGCAGCCATGGGACTAGGATGCTAGGCCTGCTTCTCAATGAGCGTGGATGCAGCCGAGTTCAGGAAATGTCAGTCAAGGGCTGTGTAGCTCACCCTACACACCAGATAAGAGGAGGCTGCACTTAGCAGCTTCGTGTTTCCAGTCCCTGTGTCCTTGTCCTTTCTATGTTACCTCTAACTATTTAGTTTTCATCTTTTTTGAATATAATAGTTTTAACCCATCCTTTTATAATTCAGCTGTGGTGTCCTTTCTTCATTGATGTGGCAGTCCTGTTTTTCATGGCTGGTTTGTAACCAGCTGAGTAGCCTGTAACATGGAAGAAGCTTTAGAACAGTTGTCTTGACATTGATTCACTTTGTGTGTGAAAAATGAATGCAGCACAAATGCTTCTTTCTCTGGTCATTTCCTTAAGGGACTGCTCATGTGGCACACAGCAGCGTTTGATAATGACCTAATCAAGTGGCTGTTGTCTAGTTTTGAGAAGTTGACATTTTCTTGAGTAGTCACCTGGAGAACTTTTCTTTTAAATTAACCTTAAAAATCAGACACGTAGAGTATATTTAGATTTTTACAGGTGAGAGGTAAAATTATAGTCTGTAATATTAAAATATTTTTTTCTTGTCATTTTAGGCCAGTTTGCTTAGTTTTAAATGAAATTCCTTTCATGTCAACTTGGTTTTTACTGGTGTCAACATTTAGGTGAGTCAAACCAATTTCCATATGATAGTCTAGTATGATTCTTAGATTCACTGAAAATTTTACCAGGTAATTATAGTTTAACTTGATGCTTTTGGTTTTCCCTATTTTCCTTTACAGCATGCTACCTCTTCTGTTAAAGGATGACCTCCTGATGCCCTCAGTTGTGACAACGATGGCGTTTTTAGTAGCTTGTGCCACTTTCTTTCCCATGTGTGAAAGCACTTCTGAAGAACAACTGCAGTTGAAGTCCTTCGCTGTCTGCGTCAGGAGGCGTTTTCCGGGCTTTACATTTCTCCCCAGAATTATACAGTGTTTGGTAAGTTAGGCAGCTTTATTCTTAACATTTATTTTGTGTATATGTGTTCTCACGCCCACGTAGAGGTCAGAGGGTAACTTTGGGACTTGGCTGTTTCCTTCCACCATGTGGACTCAGGGAGTAATTTAAAAGCTTTTTCCAAATTTTCAGCTCTTAAAACATACATATGAGTAATAGTATACAGTATGGAGCAGGTTGTATTTAGAGATGTATATGTATATACAAATGCATAGCTGAGCCATCTTACTGGCGCTGTTCAGTTTTGAAGAATTATAGTTTCTAGCATGTTGCTGTGTCTTTCAAGTTACTGAGTTTTTGTTGTTGAGACAAGGTCACATTCATTATGTAGACCAGGCTAATCTGAATCTCACTGTTCTGTAGACCATGCTGGCCTCCAACTCACAGAGATCCACCTGCCTCTGCCTCCCAAGTGCTGGGATTAAAGGCTTGCACCACCACCGCCGCCCTACTTTGAATTTATTTTTATACAGGGTGAGATGTAGATATAATTTCATTTTTCTACACAGGCATATTCAGGTCTTCAACACCATTTTTTGAAGAGGCTTTTCTCAGTGTTGGCTTTTGACACCTTTGCCAAAGATGAGTTATCTATCTATAGATATTGGGTTTATTTTTGGGTCCTCTTTCTTGTACTTGCTTATTTTTGTACACTTATATGAAATTTTGGATTTTTTTCTCCTAGTTCTTTGAAGAATTCCATTGAAATTTCAAAGGAGAGTGCTGGATATATAGGTTGCTTTAAATAATATAACTACTTTTACAATATTATTTTTTGATGAGCAGTTTGTTTTGTTTTGAGACAAGGTCTCACATAGCCTAAGATGGCCTTGAACTCACTGTGTATATGAAGCTGAATTCCTCTTACCTCTATCCCCTGAGTGTTGGAATTACAGGCTCATGTCACTATGCCTGGTATTTAGATTGCATTCTTTTTTGATCATGTTTTTCCCTCCTCCCACAATTCCTCCCAGATTCTCCCAACCTCCCTACCCACCTAACTTTGTTTTCTTATTATATATATATATATGATATTTTATTTTATTTTTGTTTGCTTTTTTAATTTTTTCCATTAAAAAATTTACACTTCTTCCCTTCCTCCCATTCCCCTTCCGCTCCCCCACTCCCCCTCCTTTTTCCCCCTCCCTCCTTAAGGCAGGGAACCCTGCCCTGTGGGAAGTCTAAGGCCCTCCCACCCTCCATCCAGGCCTAGGAAGCTGTGCATTCAAATAGACTAGGGTTCCAAAAAGCCAGTACATGCAGTAAAAATAAGTCCCAGTGCCTTTATCAATGGCTTCTCAGTCAGCCCCCATTGTCACCCACAATCAGAGAGTATAGTTTGATCACATGCTCATTCCATCCCAGTCCAGCTGAGTTTGGTGAGCTCCCATTAGAACAGGCACACCCCTCGCAGTCTTGACTTCCTTGCTCATGTTCTCCCTCCTTCTGCCCTTCAACTGGACCTTGGGAGCTCAGTTCGTTGCTCTGATGAGGGTCTCTGTCTCTATCTCCATCCATTGCCGGGCAAAGATTCTATGGTGATATTTGAGATAATCATCAGGGTGATAGTGGGGCAAGACCAGTTCAGGCACCCTCTGCTCTGCTGCCCAAGGAACTAGCTGGGGACATCCCCGTGGACACCTGGGATCCCCTCTAGAGCCAAGACTCTTGCTAACCCTAAAATGGCTCCCTTAATGTAGATATCTTCTTCCCTACACCTAAATCTGCCCTTCCTCCATCTCCACCCTCCCATTTCCCCAAGCTCTCCCTAGTCTTTCACTTCTCCCTTCCCTCTCCCCCTCATCCCTACCCCAAACCCCACTCCCACCCCCATGCTCCCAACTTTTGCCCAGCAATCTTGTTTGCTTCCAGTATCGAGGAGGATCTATATATGTTTTTCTTGGGGTTCACCTTGTTATTTGGCTTCTCTAGGCCTGCAAACTATAGGCTTAATGTCCTTTGTTTATGGCTAGAGTCCACTAATGAGTGAGTACATACCATATTTATCTTTTTGGGTCTGGGTTACCTCACTCAGGAAATGCTTTCTATTTCCATCCATTTGCATGCAAAATTCAAGATGTCATTGTTTTTAACTGCTGAGTAGTACTCTAATGTGTATATATTCCACACTTTCTTTATCCATTCTTCCATTGAGGGGCATCTAGGTTGTTTCCAAGTTCTGGCTATTACAAATAATGCTGCTATTATCATAGTTGAACAAATACTTTTGCAGTATGATTGGGCATCTCTTGGGTATAGTCCCAAGAGTGGTATTGCTGGATCCTGAGGTAGGCTGATTCCCAATTTCCTGAGAAACCACCACACTGATTTCCAATGTGGTTGCACAAGTTTGCATTCCCACCAGCAATGGATGAGTGTCCCCTTACTCCACATCCTCTCCAGCATAGACTGTCATTGGTGTTTTTGATTTTAGCCATTCTGACAGGTGTAAGATGGAATCTCAAAGTTGTTTTGATTTGCATTTCCCTGATCACTAAGGAGGTTGAACATGACCTTAAGTATCTTTTGGCCATTTGAACTTCTTCTGTTGAGAATTCTCTGTTTAGATCAGTACCTCATTTTTTTAATTGGGTTATTCAGAATTTTAATGTCTAGTTTCTTGAGTTCTTTATATAGTTTGGAGATCAGACCTTTGTCTGATATGGGGTTAGTGAAGATCTTCTCCCATTCAGTAAGTTGCCTTTTTTTGTCTTAATGACAGTGTCCTTTGCTATACAGAAGCTTCTCAGTTTCAGGAGGTTCCATTTATTCATTGTTGCTCTTATTGACTGTGCTACTGGGGTTTTATGTAGGAATTGATCTCCTGTTCCCATGTGTTGCAGTCTACTTCCCACTTTCTCTTCTATCAGGTTCAGTGTGGTCGGATTTATATTGAGGTCTTTAATTCATTTGGACTTGAGTTTTGTGCATGGTGATAGATATGGATCTATTTTCATTCTTCTACAGGTTGACATCCAGTTATGCCAGCACCATTTGTTGAAGATACTTTCTTTCTTCCATTTTATACTTTTAGCTCCTTTGTTGAAAATCAGGTGTTCATAGGTTTGTGGGTTAACATCCAGGTCTTCGATTCAATTCCATTGGTTGATGTCTCTGATTTTATGCCAATACAAAGCTGTTATCAGTACTGTAGCTCTGTAATAGAGTTTGAAGTCAGGGATGGTAATACCTCCGGAAGTATTTTATTGTATACTTACAATAAAGTATTGTTTTGGCTATCCTGGGTTTTTTGTTTTTCCATATAAAGTTGATTATTGTTCTCTCAAGGTCTGTGAAGAATTTTGTTGGGATTTTGATGGAGATTGCATTGAATCTATAGATTGATTTTGGTAGAATTGCCATTTTACTAGGTTGATCCTACCCATCCAAGAGCATGGGAGATTCTTCCATTTTCTGGTATCCTCTTCAGTTTCTCTCTTCAAAGACTTAAAGTTCTTGTCAAATAGATCTTTCACTTCCTTAGTTAGAGTTACCCCCAAGAGTTACCCCCAAGATACTTTATGCTATTTGTGGCTATCGTGAAAGGTGATGTTTCTCTGATTTCCCTCTCTGCTTCTTTGTTCTTTTTGTATAGGAGGGCAACTGATTTTTTTTGGAATTGATCTTGTATCCTGCCACATTACTAAAGGTGTTTATCAGCTGTAGGAGTTCTTTGGTAGAGTTTTTGGGGTCGCTTATGTACACTATCATATCGTCTGCAAATAACAAAAGTTTAACTTCATCCTTTCCAATTCAAATCCCCTTGATCTCCTTATGTTGTCTTATTGCTGTTGCTAGAACTTCAAGCACTATGTTGAAGAGATATGGTGAGTGGACAGCCTTGTCTTGTTCCTGAATTTAGAGGAATGGCTATACGTTTCTCTCCATTTAATTTGATATTAGCTGTTGGCTTGCTGCATATTGCTTTTATTATATTTAGGTATGAATCTTGTATCCTTAACCTCTCCAAGACCTTTATCATAAAGGGGTGTTGAATTTTGTCAAATGCTTTTTCAGCATCTAATGAAATGATCATATGTTTTTTTTTCTTTCAGTTTATTTATGTGATGAATTACATTGATAGATTTTCGTATGTTGAACCAGCCCTGCATCTCTGGGATGAAGCCTACTTGATCGTAATGGATAATTTTTTTTGATGTGTTCTTAGATTCGGTTTGCCAGTATTTTATTGAGAATTTTTGCATTGATATTCATAAGCGAGATTGGTCTGTAATTCTCTTTCTTGGTTGAGTCTTTTTGTGGTTTTGGTATCAGGGTAACTGTAGCTTCATAAAAAGAGTTTGGCAATGACTCTTCTGTTTCTATTGTGTGAAACACATGAAGGAGTATAGGTATCAGGTCTTCTTGGAAGTTCTGATAAAATTCTGCATTAAATCTATCTGTTCCTGGGCTTTTTTTGGTTGGGAGGTTATTTATGACAGCTTCTATTTCCTCACGACTTACAGGTCTATTTAAATTGTTCTACCTGGTCTTGATTTAATTTTGGTATATGGTATTTATCTAAAAACAAGTCTGTTCCTTTTACATTTTCCAACTTTGTGGCATGTAGGCTTTTGTAGTAAGACCTGATGATTCTCTGAATTTCCTCAGTGTCTGTGGTTATGTCCCCCTTTTTATTTCTGATCTTGTTAATTTGTGTGTTCTCTCTCTGCCTTTTGATTAGTTTGGATAGGGGTTTGTCAATCTTGTTGATTTTCTCCAAGAACCAGGTTTTTTTTTTAATTTCATTGATTCTTTGGGCTGTTTTCTGTGTTTCTATGTTGTTGATTTCAGCCCTCAGTTTGATTATTTCCAGTCTTCTACTCTTCCTGGATGAGTCTGCTTCTTTTTTTTTTTTCTAGAGCTTTCAGCTGTGCTGTTAAGTCTACTGTGAGCTTTCTCCGTTTTTTTTTTTTTTAAAGTGGGCACTTAGAGCTATGAACTTTCCTCTTCGCACTGCTTTCATAGTGTCCCATAGGTTT